CTGTGCCCCCACTGACCCTCTTTGGGGGGCAAAGCACCCCTGTGCCCCCAGTGACCCTCTCTGGGGGCAGTGCCCCCCCCCGTGCCCTGGCTTTGGGGGGACAGGGCTGGTTCATCTCGCTGTCCCTTCTCCTGCCCCGGATCCCTGTTCCTGCCCGGGCTGGGGGGGTGGGATGGGACCCCCTCTCTCCTCAAATCCACGATTTCCCTTCCCAGCCAAGTGGGTTCTTGCCCATCCCTTGGTCTCAGCCGGGCTCGGGCCCCTCTCCTTGGGCTGTGCTGCCCATCCCAGTCCTGCCGCTCCCGGCTCCCATCCCACACCCCTGATCCATGGGATCCGTGTCTGTCCCACCCCGGCCCTGGGGGGGGGGGGCACAGGGCAGTTCCCCCCGTCTCCTTGGGAGCCCGAGGGAAGCCTGGAATCCTCTGGAATCCTCTGGAATCCTGGGGGCCCTTCCCGCTGCCCCCTCCCCGCTGGGACCGGGGTCTCATCCCAGCTCCCGCTCAGGTGGATCCGGACGTGTTCTGTCAGCTGGGACAACTTGCTACATCTCTTTTTTTTTGTTTTGTTTTAGTTTTTGTTTTGGTTTTTTTTGGTAATGGTTTCTCCTGGTTTTTAGGGGAAAACAAACAAAAAAAAAAGATGACCCACAATTCTTGACTTGTATCTCTGAATGGAAATATTAAATGTTCTCTTCTTTCTAACGGTGCAGTCGCGGAGTCGGGGAGAGGGGTGGGGTGGGATGGGACCTTGAAGGTCATCATGGAATTCCAGCCCTGGTTTGGGGATGGATAAAACCTTGAAGGTCATCATGGAGTTCCAGCTCTGGTTTGGGCTGGAAGGGACCTTAAAGCTCATCTCATTCCACCCCCTGCCATGGGCAGGGACACCTCCCACTGTCCCAGCTTGTTCCAACCTGGCCTTGGACACTCCCAGGGATCCAGGGGCAGCCACAGCTTCTCTGCCCAACCTCTGCCAGTCCCTCCCCACCCTCCCATCCAAGAATTCCTTCCCAACATCCCATCCAACCCTTCCCTCTGGAGGAATTCCCCCCTCCCATCCCATCAGGACACCAGGACGGGATGTCCCCGAGCCAGCGGAGCCGCACCGGGGCCACGACTCTGAGCTGCTCTTTAATCCACTCCCTGTCCCACCAAGCATCGTCTGCCCAGTGTCCAACACCCCCAACCCCCCTGGGGGGCAGGGCGGGAGCCCAGGGGGGCTCTGACCCCCCC